TCAAGCTGACCCCTCACTCATAGACGGTTCAGTCAAGGTGAAATTCAAGATGGGCTCTCCAGGTACAAAACTTGGCAAGCCCAATGAGGAAAATCAAAAACTAGCATGCAGGCCAGGCGTGGTAGCTCATGCCTGTAATCCCAGCACTTTGAGAGACGAGGAGGACAGATCACAAGGTCAAGAGATCAAGACCATCCTGGCCAACATGGTGAAACCCCATCTGTACTAAAAATACAAAAATTAGCCAGGCATGGTGACATGTGCCTGCAGTCTCAACTACTCAGAGTACTGAGGCAGGAGAATCACTTGAACCCAGGAGGCAGAGTTTGCAGTGAGCCAAGATCCTGGTGAGAGTGAGTGAGACTCCATCTCAAAACCAACCAAACAACAACAACAAAAAAAAAAAAAAAAAAAAAAAAAAAAAAAAAAAACAGTGTGCAGATGTCGGCTATCAGAGCAATCAAACCTGGACTGCTACAGGGTCCTCGAAGGCAGCTGACATGGTGAGGATCTGTTATTCAGGGGAAATCAGGACACAGGTAAGGCTCAGGCAGCCCCTCCATCCTAAGCTCCCTCCACCCTAAACTTCTGTTGAGACCCTATAGAAACAGTGACGTTGCAGGAAACTGGAAGAAGTTTACTCACTGTGCAGCTCAGGCAGCCCAAGAGTGGCCCCTGGTGTGCAGGTAGGGTGAGCTGAAGAGAGACTGTTAGGGCAACACTACAGCGGGCTTGTGGACTGCATCACAAAGGCGTCTTGTCCCCTGGTCCCCGGCTGCTCTTCCACACAAGCGCCATGCCCTGTGGTGGCTGTGGAACATTAAAACACACCGTTACTTCAGTCTGGCTTTCAGTGTGCTGGTGGCTAGGCGTGGTGGCTCACGCCTGTCATCCCAGCACTTTGGGAGGCCGAGGTGGGTGGATCACAAGGGCAGATCGAGACCACCCTGACCAACATGGTGAAACCCCGTCTCTAATAAAAGTACAAAAAAATTAGCTGGGCGTGGTGGCTCATGCCTGCAGTCCCAGCTACTCGGGAGGCTGAGGCAGGAGAATTGATTGAACCCAGGAGGCAGAGACTGTTTAGAACTTCTGGTTAGAACTTCTCCCCGAAGGTGGCTGTGCCATGGAGGGCATCAACTGAGGGTGTTGGAGGCAGCTGTGCCCCAGGGGGCTGGAAAATGCCAGCACTAATGCCCATGTGTGGCATCTGGGCCTAAGTTCCAATTCTGCCCACACCCCTGAGGCACTGGGGACACGGTGTGTGTTCTCAGCTCCTTGGCTCTCCTCTGCTGCCTGCATCCTGGTGGAGATGTGATTCCTGCTCAGGCAGGGGCTGGAAGTCAACAGGTGGCTGGCTTATGCAAACGGGGCAGCCACAGAGGCAGAATAAAGATGGAGGAGGAATTGAGGAGCCAGCCAAGAATGGTGGGAGCTAACGGGGTGGAGTGGGAGTGGGAAGCCATTGCCGTGCTAAGGCTACAGGACCCAGAGGAGGCTCTGCTTGGAGACCAGCGAGAGCTGTGACCCGGGACATCTGCTGTGACCACAGGTAAAAAAGCACAACCCCTGCCAGACCTCACCCAGCAAGGAGGGAATCCAGGAAGCAAACGTCCCAGTGCCATCCTCCCACAACCAGGTATCATGCTGCTGCCCCCTGCCGGCCAAACCCAGCAGGAGGGCAGGACTCGGGAGCCGGGACATCTGTAGGCTGAGCCTCCAGGACACAGAGCATCTAGGCAGAGGACAGATTGGAGACTCACAGGGACTCACCGGCAGTGACGGGCTGTGTAATGCACGCCATAAAACATGCCCACATTCGAATTCCCAGAGCCTGTAGATAGGTTACTTTCTAAGCAAAGGAATTTCGCAGCTGTGATTATATTAAGGGCCTTGAGGTGGGGAGATGAGCCTCTATAAACCAGCAGGTGGGGACAATGTAAGCAGATGGGTCCTTATCAGAGTGAGACAGGAGGGTCAGGGACCTGCAGAAGCCTCGTGATGATGGAAGCAGAGGAATGCAGAGTGGAAGATGCTACGTTGCTGCCTTTGAAGGGGCTACGTGGCAAGGAGTCCGGGCAGCCTCTAAAAGCTGAAAAAGGCAGGAAAGAAAATGGACTCTCCCCTCCAGCCTCTGGAAGGAACACTACCCTACCAACCTAGTTTAGAATCCCTGACCTCAGGAACAGTAAGAGAATACTTGTGTGTTGTTTTCAGCCATTAATTTTGCCATAATTTGCTGCAGCCGCCGTGGGAAATGATTACCCCTGCACAATGCCCTGGGAAGGGGTGTCCCTCGGGCCACTAAGCCCATTACTGCTGACCCAAAGGACTCTCTGGTCTCAGGATCTCTGTCAACTACAGAGGTCAGAATGGTGGCTCCTCCCTGGGAGCAAATGCTTTGATTAGCCAGTAATGATTCCTGAGGACATGCCAGGCCAAACGGGGCTGCAAAACCCCACAGGTTCTACTCATGTTGACCCTTCCAGCTGCTCCCAAACAAAGGCAATTGGCACGCCCCAGGCTACTGCCTGATACAAGTTTCATGTTTTCTCCTTTGTTAAAAAATGCATCATATCCACGTGTGAAGCCTCTGGTGTAGGAGGCAGCACAGTGTAGTTTTTTTAAAAAAAGTCAGGGTGTGGTGGCTCACACCTGTAATCCCAGCACTTTGGGAGGCCGAGGCGGGCGGATCATGAGGTCAGGAGTTCGAGACCAGCCTGCCCAACATGGTAAAACCCCGTCTCTACTAAAAATACAAAAACTGAGCTGCGTGTGGTGGCAGGCACCTGTAATTCCAGCTACTCAGGAGGCTGAAGCAGGAGAATCACTTGAACCCAGGGGGCTGAGGTTGCAGTGAGCCAAGATTGTGCCATGGCACTCCAGCCTGCCCCAGTGCGAGACTCCGTCTCAAAAAATAAATAAAGGCCCCAGCCCAGACACCTGGAAACCTAATGCTAATCCTGGATCTACTGCCCCTCTCTAAGCCTCAGTTTCCCCATCTGTACAAGGGATTGGGACTGAGTTGCCTCCGAGGACCTAGTTTGTTGGCAGCCTCATTCCGTGGTTCTAACTGCCTTCTTCCCTGTCCACAGCTTGCCTGACCTGGCGACCTGCAGCCGTCAGTGACAGTCAGGGCTGATGGAAAACCACCACATCTGGAGCCCAAAGCTGCCTGCCCTCTCCTGCCCCGGGGACCTGTTTGCTTGTTCTCTGCTGCCCCCTGCTGACAACTTGAAAACAAAGCATTCTGGCTGGATCTAGAGGAAAGAAGGCCTTCAGAGAGAGGCCCTGCAACCTACTACAACTGCCTGCCCAGACCTGGCCAGCCAGGCCCTTGCTTTAGGCTGGGTTTCAGGGAGCAGAAGGAAGCCCAGGCAGCAACTAGAGCCCTGGATGGGGAGGCTGCCTGCCTCTCTCCCCACGTCTGCGTCCCATCTCCTCTGCTCGAGGAAGATAGGGTTTGGGCTGCAGCAGTTTCTGAACAGTGGTTCTGTGGGCCCAGCTCTGCCTCTGGAGGATCATGACAATAGGACAAGGGTCCCTGCGCACCCTCTCCCAGCGTATCTCCTACCACATGCTATGGGAATCCTGGTTTCTAGCCCCTTTTTCCTGTTTTCAAACATCGAGAGGCATCAGAAGGGGAGATGTCCACACAGGAAAAGCCAGACAGGACCAAGCAGGAGCTAGGGCTGGATTCGAACCGCTGTCCTACCAGGGAGCTCACAGGCCACGTTCTGGCCACAAATGAGGGGGCACCCTCGCTGCTCGTCCCCAAGAGAAAGGGCAGCTGGGAGGACAGCTACATACAGAAAATGGACAGGGCCAGAAATACCCTCATTCTGGTGGCCCAGGGGTCACGAAATTGGAACCACGGAGAAAACCATGTGGTGGAGGCATCATGCTAGGCCCTGCGGAAAAACACGTACGTGGCCACGGTCACGGAAATGCTGTTTATTGATTTTCAGATTTTAGAGTCAATCTGTGGACAAAGCACAGAAGACTTAGTTTTGCTTACAGAGCAGAAGATAGATGTTAACTACAGGGGTGATGGAAAAGTAAAGTACATCAGAACTTTGGGGAAACAGTTAGGGCTGGGGAACCCCTGCTGGGTGGAGACAAGCTCTGGGGCAGAAGGGAACCCAGGAAGGCCTTGGCAGTTGACTACATGGTGCCGGGCGGGATGCTCCGTCACCACCTGCCCCACCCCACGCACCTGGGTGGTGCTAGAGGATGTCACTGGTGTGACAGCACCTCCTCCTACTTTTCCTTCTTTAGGGAGGATCAAGAGGAAGGAAGGAGTGAGAAGGGAAGATCCCAGCACTGCCATGCTCAGCAGACACAGGAGGTCACCAGACTAAGGAAGGCAGTGGGGTTTGGACACCAGACTAAATTGAAGATCAGCTAAAACAGAGGAAAGTGAAGCAGCTTTCCTAAAGACATGCCAACCAGGTGCCATGTCAATTTCCCGCTGCCATGGCGACACCCTAGCATTTCCGCTCCTTTTTGTGGCAATGACCCCAGGACCCAGAAGTTACTTCTTCCCTAGAAATTTTTTTTTTTTTTAGACAGAGTCTCGCTCTGTCACCCAGGCTGGAGTGCACTGGCACAATCTCGGCTCACTGCAACCTCCACCTCCCAGGTTCAAGCGACTCTCCTGCCTCAGCTTTCCTAGTAGCTAGGATTACAGGCACGCACCACCACACCCAGCTAATTTTTGTATTTTTAGTAGAGACAAGATTTCGCCATGTTGGCCAGGCTGGTCTTGATCTCTTGACCTCATGACCCACCCAAATTTGGCCTCCCAAAGTGCTGGGATTACAGGCGTGAGCCACTGTGCCCAGTGCCCCTAGAAATTGTTGTTTAAACTGCTCCTTAATCTACATGTAATTAAAAGTGGGTATAAATCTGACTGCTTTCTGCTTATGGGGTAGCCCTTCTCTACAGTCATGAAGCTGTAACACTGCAGCTTCCAGACAACTGTATTCTTTTTTTTTACTTTCTTTTCTTTTTTTATTTTTTGAGATGAAATTTCACTCTTGTTGCCCAGGCTGGAGTATAATGATGCAGTCTCGGCTCACTGCAACCTCCGCCTCCCAGGTCCAAGTGATTCTCCTGCCTCAGCCTCTTGAGTAGCTGGGATTACAGGCATATGCCACCACACCCAGCTAGTTTTTTGTATTTTTAGTAGAAATGGGGTTTCACCATGTTGGCCACGCTGGTGTTGAACTCCTGACCTCAGGTGATCCGCCCACCTCAGCCTCCCAAAGTGGTGGGATTACAGGCGTGAGCCACCGCTCGAGGCCACAGCTGTTTTTTTCTTCCCTACTACTGGCTTGCCCTTGAAATCTCTCCTAGGGGAAGCCAAGAACCCACTCAGGCTAAGTTCCAGTTTTGGGGCTTGCTCACCCTACATCAAGACCCATTAAAGTCAGTGGGATTCTAGAGAGTTCCAGGTATCCTGCGTAAACTTGCAAAAATAACCAAGAAATGACCCACAAATGTAACTATCCAAAATGGGGAGACGGTGAGGGGTAGCAGGGATGAGAAAGGATCAGAGCGTCATCAGATCCTCATTTGTCATTGACACGGGGTAAAATCGACAGGTGGAGAAACTGGTTTAAACAGATTACTTGGAAATAGAGAAAACTACCAGAAGAACAAAAAACAGGGTCAGTTAAAACCACGGCACGGAAGGAATGGGACAGGTAGGGGAGAAACCGGCTTTTATTCATTCATAAGTTCTTCTGTGCCCTTTGGATTTTTTTTTTTTTTTTTTTTTTTTTTTTTACCATAGGCATGTCTGACTTTGATTTCAAAGATTAATTTTAAATTTCAAAAAGCGACAACACAATCCTGGTCAATTGAACCAGAAGTGACCAGGCCACTTGCTCCCTGCCTGGGTGCCAGGCTGGCTGTGGGCCTCAGGGCGTCAGTGCTGTAGTGGGTGCCCCGGGGTCAAGGTTAGCTCTGCAGGTGGCTCTGCAGGTGGCTCTGCGGGTGGCTCTGTGGATGACTCTGCAGGTGGCTCTGCGGGTGGCTCCGCGGGGGACCACGTGGCCCCCTGGCTCAGCATGTTGCGGCAGCGCAGCCGCTCCTCCTCCTGCTTCTCCGCCATGCGGTTCTCCAGCAGCCTCAGCTCCCTGCGCACCGCCTTCTGCATGGACGGCTCCAGCTCCAGCACTTTCTGGAGGTCCGCCTTGGCCTCGGCCTCGTTCCACACCTCCGCGTGAGCCCGGGCGCGCACATAGTAGGCCTTCACAATGCCTGTGGGGAGCATCCAGTCTCAGAGGCAGCCCCCGCCCAGCTGGGACTCACCAGCCTACAAGACCCTTAGCCGTGCCGTGATCCTTAAACTCTCTGTACCCCCCGTGCTTCGGTTTCCCCAACTGTAAAACGAAGATGATGATCATAATAGCAGTACCTCCTCCTCTCCTTTTCAAGGCCCTATGATTAATTTTATATTCTTAACTTTGTTTTCTTTTTCTTATAGACACTCCCTAAATTAGATAACCTTCAGGCCCTTTCCCTGCACCTCCCCCATATGGTGATTATGAGGATTATGAGGATTAAATGAGATAATCAAAACGCAGAGGACTTGTGCCTGATGGATGAGCCAAGTGCTGGATGTTGTTACTGTGAGCGCTGTCGGAGTGTTAAGTCAGTGCTAGTACCAGCGGCCCCTATACTAGAATCGACATAATATTTTTCTCTATATTGATTGTCCCTCTTTTTTAAAAGCCTGTTTACTGTTCCACCGAAATCACAAGCTTGGTGAGTTTCCTTGGTAAGCATTCAAATACACATTAAAATAAAAGGCCCCACACCAAGCACAGGCCATCGATCACCCAGGATTCAGTGACACACGCTAGGAAACCCGGCTGGCTGGAGACAAAGTTTGGTGCCCTGGTGGGGTGGAAAGGAAAGTCCAGGGAGGTTGTGACAGGTGTCTCTGTGGCCCTGGGCTGGGTGCCCCCTTGCTGCCCACCCCTCCAGCCCCGCGCACCTGGGTGGTGCCGGAGAATGTCACTGGTATGCTCCAGGACCTCGTAGTACTCCTCCTTCTTCAGCAGACACTGACAGTAGTTGAGGATCAGGGTATTGATCATCTTCTCCAGCTTCAGCCACTGCACCTCCCAGGGTTTCTCCTGCCCAAAAAGAAGGTCAGCCGTGACCTCAGGCTGCTGCTTGACCCTCGCCCCACCCTGGCCAGCACTGGGCAGGTCCCCCAGAGGCAGCCCCACTTCTCACCCCCTGCCAGCGGCCTCCCACCTTGGTCTGCAGGTTCCTTAGGCAGATGATGGCCTCCTGGTACTTGGAAGAGGCCTCCTCGTAGCGGCCCAGCTTGAAGAGCCTATTTCCTTCTCCATGGAGGACGGGCACCACCTTCATCTTCTCGTGATTGCTCAGGTTCCAGGTCTCCCTCTGGTAATCACTTGGGGCATCAACCTGGCCCCAGAGCTGCGGGTCATTGAGGAAGGAACCCCGGGGTCCTCACCCCAGCAGGGACCAGAGAAAGTAGGCCCTGGCACGTCTCCCTGAAGTCATGCTTGCTGGTCAGTTGCATACAGACAAGGGAAAGAAGCAACAAGGCCGAAAACCCTGCCCTAAATCAGTGCCTTCGTGCACACAGGGAAAAGGTGCCCGTTCCTCAAGACACGTCACTTCTAATATTCGGAAAATTGTCACCAGGTGCAGTGACTCACATCTGTAACCCCAGCACTTTGGGAGGCCAAGGTGAGTGGATCACGAAGTCAGGAGATTGAGACCATCCTGGCTAACACGGTAAAACACCATCTCTACTAAAAAGACAAAAAATTTGCTGGCAGTGATGGCACGTGCCTGTAATCCCAACTACTTGGGAAGCTGAGGCAGGAGAATCACTTGAACCTGGGAGGTGGAGGTTGCAGTGAACTGAGATCACGCCATTGCACTCCAGCCTGGGCAACAGTGAGACTCCGTCTCAAAAAAAAGAAAGAAAATTGTCAGGAATACTCGTTTTGTTAGAACAATGCACTGTTGCCATCTGCTGGAAGATGGTCATTATAGCAATACCAATATACAATGCCTATCATGAGCACCTTGGAGGAGATGCCGGTACACCTTGCGCAGTGCACAGACCACACAGCTGACTGTGACAGTAAGCCTGTAAAGGCCCTGAGTTGACACAGTTCTCATTTTATTTTTATTCACTCACATAGCTCTCAGGCTGAGCCCCGTTCTTGGCCATAGCTGAGTCCCAACGTGACCTTGACCCTGGCCCTAACCCTCTCCCACCAATCCACAAACATGGGCTGTCAATCACTCTAGGGCTCTGGCTGGGAGGATGTGGGGAGTTCCATGCAGCCTCTCCCACTACTTGAGAACCAAGTCTGAATCCACAAACCACAGGAAGTAGGAGGTTATAATCTTAAACTCTTGGGAAAAAAGTGGAAGTGGATAACCAACAGAAGTAAAATGCTGGCCAGGCACAGTGGCTCACACCTGTAATCCCAGCACTTTGGGAGGCCGAGGCGGGTGGATCACCTGAGGTCAGGGGTTCAAGATCAGCCTGACCAGCAGGGAGAAACCCCATCTCTACTAAAGCTATAAAATTAGCCAGGTGTGGTAGCGGACACCTGTAATCCCAGCTACTCGGGAGGCTGAGGCAGAATCGATTGAACCTGGGAGGCAGAGGTTGTGGTGAGCCGAGATCACGCCATTGCACAGGAGTAAAATACCTCCAAAATGAAAATGAGTCACATTTTTAAAAATTGGCTCCAAACAGACTTTTCTCTTTTTTTCTTTTTTAGTGACAGTCTCACTCTGTCGCCCAGGCTGGAGTGCGATGGCGCGATCTTGGCTCACTGCAACCTCCACCTTCCAGGATCAAGCAATTCTCGTGCCTCAACCTCCTGAGTAGCTAGGATTACAGGTACACACCACCATGCCAGGTTAATTTTTGTACTTTTAATAGAGACGGGGTTTCACCATGTTGGCCAGGCTAGTCTCGAACTCCTGACTTCAAGTGATCCACCACCTTGGCCTCCCAAAGTGTTGAGATTACAGGCATGAGTCACCATGCCCAGCACCAAATCGACTTTTTGCGTGGAAAAAGCAGAGGCCTTTTTTTTTCCAAATTCATATTCCCCTGTGGTTTATGAACCCTTACTGATGCTCTAAAGAGAAACAGGGCACTGTTCAATGGTCAGTCGGATAGGGGGTGCCCGTGATGCCTGCTGTCCCTCTCTAGTCCTGGCACAGCCCTCCAGCCCTGCCTACCCTGAGCCCCACCTGCAGCAGCTCGATCACAAAGATCAGAGGCTGAGGCTCCTTCTGCAGCTCATCCAGGTCCTCGTAGCCCAGCGTGTGGTAGGCGAACATGTTGGCCAGCCCGCACGTGTGCACATGCCACTCCGTCGGGTCCTTGCCCTGGGCCATCTGCCGCAGGCTCCGGGACAGGATGGGGTAGACCCCCGTGTGCTGGGGAGAGAAACAGATGGCATCTGGGCTACCTGCTGAGAGCTACGTAGGCCACAGAAGGCCTCTACTCAGAGCCCCTCCTAGCAGGAATCCTGCCACCTCACTATGCCACTAACTGATTCACTGTGTGCCAGGCAAAGCACTTTACACTATCATGAGCTCCTTTAATCCTTATGACAATTGAAGGGAGGCACTATTATACCCACTTTACAGATGAGGAAACCACAGCCCAGAGAGGCAAAGCAACTTGCTTAAGGTCACACAGCTAGGAAATATGCAGCCAGGATTCAAACCTGGCTCCAGAGGCCATAAGCTCTTAGCCTCTGGCTACCTCTTCTGGCCCTTGTGGTCCACTGTAACACATCTCTGCCCCAAGGAAACTCTGAGCTCTGCAAAGCCTATGACTGACAGGAAGGGCAGTGTGGCGCAGTGGAAGGGACAGGACTCCGGGGTCCAAGAGAGTCACTTTGGTATCCTGGAACTGCTGCAGATTAGCAGTGAGCCCAGGTCTCTGTACGTCTCTGAAGCCCACTTCCCTGGGTTGCTCCTGTCTGGTATTAGGGCTGCTGTAGGGATTAAATGAGATGGTGCAGACATAGGTCTGGCTCGTCACAGCCTCAGCCACAATGGGAGCTGAGGTTACCACTCTTGGAATGAAGAAGGGCTGGGAAAATCAGCTGTGCAGCCTTAGTGAGTCATGCCGTATGCATGCTGGGCCTCAATTTCCCCAACTAGGCTCTCTGAGAACCCATCTCCTTGGACTGGCTTCTGAGATGACCCAGTTCTGGCCCCACATGCAACATGTTGCTGGGAAGAGAAGCAGATGAAACTCCGTGCAGCAGTTCAGCGCTGCCTCCAGGTCACCAGCACAGAGACAGAGGTCACCCCGCCCATCCCACCACCAGCTGAGATTAGCCCGAAATGCCTTCTGCCTCTTCATGGAAGAGACGAGCAGATGGCTGTTGAGCCTGTTGGGATTAGAGCTGGACCAAGGGAGGGAGAGGCCCCAGAATCAGCTTGCTACAGGGAGGGAGCACCCCGGCCCTGACTCAGCAGCCCCTAGCTCGGCACCCCATGGCTCCCAGCAAGCTAAGTGTGCTTTTGTGGTCCCAAAGCACACTGCCCTCACTTATCTATCTTGTGGCACTGGCTACCCTGCATTACAATTGTTTAGGTGTGTGCTCCTCCAGAATTCAAGTTCCTTATGGGCTAGAAGCTTCACTTGCTTCATTCCTAACATACAGCACAGGCCAAGTGAGGTTCCCAGTGAATGTTTTCTAATTAGATAGATAGATAGATAGATAGATAGATAGATAGATAGATAGGTAGACAGACAGATGAATGACAGGAGATGATGGATGCAGGCATAGTGATGAAAGACTGGATTATGAATGAAGATTGGTTGAAGGAAAGAATGGATGAATTGATGCCTAGGCAAGTGGGTGGATGGATAAGAGGTGGGCATGCAGGTGAAGAAATAACTCTAGAAGGTGTGTGTGTGTGTGTGTGTGTGTGTGTGTACATGTGCACAATCATGGCAGCCATGGGCTGGGGTGAGGAGATGGGAGGGGTGTGGCGATTGGGAAAACCCATAGTTACTATGGTATAACAGTTACCAGCTGGGCACTCACGTCTATAATACCAGCACTTTGAGAGGCCAAGGGGGCAGATCACCTGAGGTCAAACATTTGAGACCAGCCTGGCCAATGTGGTGAAACCCTGTCTCTACTAAAAATACCAAAAAAAAAAAAAAAATTAGCCGGGCATGATGGTGGGCACCAGTAATCCCAGCCACTCGGGAGGCTGAGGCAGGAGAATCGCTTGACCCCAGGAGGCAGAGGTGGCAGTGAGCCAAGATCACACCATTGCACTCCAGCCTGGGCAACAAGAGCGAAACTCCGTCTCAGAAAAAAAAATTCAGCCTGTTGTAAGGGCAGTGCAGTCATGTGACTATCAATGTGGACAAAGGAACACAGACTCCACAGGAAACAAAAAGCCACGCCCATGTTATGGGAATGACAACAGCTTGTGGTTTTGCAAACAACAAATCAATCATCTAATCAATAATTTATTGACATTCTTCTATGCACTCAGCTGTCATGTGTTAATGAACATGTATCCTATGGAGAGGGGGTTCTTGGTGGCAGCCAAGCCTTGCTTCTCATATGGCATGAATTGAAGTACAGGAGTCCCTCACTCTATTTGGAGTCCCAAAGTCAATAGATATATTTTTAAACTCACTAAAATCACAAAGAAGCCAATTTTCTGAAGCCTTGACTTGATAAAAATAAAACAGATTTTAAGTTAAAAACATCAGAAGGAAGAAAAACACAGGGACTGGTACGAAGGAAAGATGTTCAACGAATATGTGCTACATGAGTGAAGAAATGAATAACATGTTGGGTGGGATCACCTACTGGCAGAGGATGGTACTGCAGCCCAACTCTATTGTACATTGTGAGAAACAGGTGCAGGATAAAGAGGGAACCAGGTGTCTCACCCAGATCTTTTATCTTAACCTGTTTGAGCCATTACAGGTTTTCCTTTTTTTGGAGTCTTAAGTTTTCTCATTAGTAAAGTGAAGAAGTTAATCTCAAAATGTTTTCTAGGCCGGGCACTGTGGCTCATGCCTATAATTCCAGCACTTTGGGAGACTGAGGCAGGTAGATCACTTGAGGTAAAGCCTGGTCCAACATGATGAAACCCCGTCTCTACTAAAAATACAAAATAAAATTAGCTGGGTGTAGTCGTGGGCACCTGTAATCCCATTTACTCAGGAGTCTGAGGCAGGAGAATCATTTGAACCTGGAAGGCACAGGTTCCAGTGAGCATAGATTGTGCCACTGCACTCTAGCCTGGGTGACAGAGTAAAACTCCACCTTAGGGAAAAGAAATTCTAGCTCAAAATAATAGCTCTAAGTTTTAATTGCCCTCATATGTTATATCATTTAATCTCCAAAACAACTCCTTAACTTAGAGTTTTCTTTATTTATAAATGAAGGAATAGAGTAGCAGGCAGAAGAAGGGACTTCCCCAGATCACACAACTAATAAAAGACAGAACAGGTTCAAACTGTCCCCGAAATGCTCATTTAAAAGGTCAGTGGCCTCTGATGAAATAATGAGTCTGGGTATCTGCCATCAATGGTGAAAGTCTAGGGGTAGCTTTGGAATGGATGGATCAGGCTGTCAACACCCACGCTCACCAATCACTCTTAACATCACAGTAAAACAGACAAGTAGATGTCATGGACTTCTCTCAAAGGAAAGTATATGGTATCATCCATAGCAGACTTTTTTGAAAAAGAGAGAGAGAAAATAATCTGAATTTTACCAAGTTCTCTAGACTCAGCTTTCAATGTATCAAAAACATGGGAAATAAAGGAACAGGTTAGACAATTTCAGGGCAAAGCACCAGGAAAATCAGAATGTGGGACTTGTACAGGATAAATGACCCCATTCCTTCAACACATCCATGTCAAGGAAGAATAGAAGAAAAGAAGGTGAACCTATAGATAAAAATAGACTTGACAGACACATCAACAAAGCGCTATGCAGGGACTTTGTTTGGTTGTTGATTTAAACAAACCAAACTCATTCATTTATAAAGAATAAAAGAGGAGTCAACCAGAGAAAATTTAACAGTGACTGGATATTAGATGGCTTTAAGGAATTACTGGAGTTTTTAAAAGACTTCATAACAATGTCATGGTCAAGTTTTTTCAATATCCTCATATCTGGCCAGGTGCGGTGGCTCACACCTGTAATCCCAGCACTCTAGGAGGCCAAGGCGGGCAGATCACGAGGTCAGCAGTTCGAGACCAGCCTGGCCAACATAATGAAACCCTGTCTCTACTAAAAATACAAAAGTTAGCCAGGCATGATGTGCCTGTAGTCCCAGCTACTCAGGAGGCTGAGGCAGGAGAATCACTTGAACCTGGGAGACGGAGGAATGCACCACTGCATTCCAGCCTGGGCGACACAGCAAGAGTTTGTCTCAAAAAAAATCCTCATATTTTAGGGATACAAATTTTAGTATTTACAGATGAAGTGATGTGGTGCCTGGCTTTTACTTTAACCATGCAGGACAAAGAATGGAAGTGGGTAGGGTGGAAGATGAAGCAAGACCAGCTGTGGGTTGATAGTGGCTGGCACTGGGTGATGTGTTCTTAGAAGTGCATTATACTTTCTGCTGACTTTTGTTTTTGTTTGAAAGTTCTCATAAGAAACATTGCTTAAAGGTCAGTGGGTGCTGCCATAAGGCAAGGAAGCTAACTTATAAGAGTAACTTACGCAGTGCCATAAATAGAGAGGGGCAACTTGCAACGTGAGGAGGAAGGCAAAGAAGTGACCAGTGCTGGTCTAATCATACTCTATAAAGTCTCCAGATCTAGCTCAGGCACAGCGGCTCTCACCTGTATTCCCAGCACTTTGGGAGGCCAAAGCAGGTGGATCATGAGGTCAGAAGATGGATTGAGACCATCCTGGCCAACATAGTGAAACCTCATCTCTACTAAAAATACAAAAATTAGCTGGGTGTGGTGGTACATGCCTGTAATCCCAGCTACTCTGGAGGCTGAGACAGAAGAATCGCTTTAACTAGGGAGAGGGAGGTTGCAGTGAGCCAAGATCATGCCACTGCACTCCAGCCTGGGCAACAGAATGAGACTCTGTCTCAAAAAAAAAAAAAAAAAATCTCCAGGTTGAATCACACTGCATAAAAAGCAAGGACTGGATGGGGCATGATGGCTCACGGCTATAATTCCAGCACTTTGGGAGGCCGAGTTGGAAGGATTGCTTAAGCCCAAGAGCTCAGAACCAGCCTGGCCAACATGGAGAAACTCTGTCTCTACAAAATATACAAAAATCAGGTGTGGTGGTGTGCTCCTTGGAGGCTGAGGTAGGCGGATGACCGGAGCCCAGGAAGTTGAGGGCTGCAGTGAGCCGTGATTACACTACTGCACTCCAGCCTGGGTGACAGAGCGAGACCATCTCTCTCCCTCTCTCTCTCTCTCTCTCTGTCTCTCCTCTCTCTCTCTCTCTCTCTCTCTCTCTCTCTCTCTCTCTCTCACACACACACACACACACACAAACACACACACACACACGTGAAGACTGTGAAGCAGCTGGCTCCCTCCTGCTGGGCACAGCCCTGCTCCCACACCGCACCAGCCAGCCACGACCCAGGCCTCCCCTTCCAGGCCTTGTTCCCTCCATCTTCACACGCACAGCAATGGGGAATGAGGTTGCAGGACTGGCTTTGCAGGGCTTTGTTTCAGTCCCAGGTTTCCCAAAACACATCAGCCCCCCAGAGCGGGTGGGTGAGCCCGGAAGAGACCAGCCCTAGGCAACTGGGTGCAGGGCCAACTTACGATGGTGTCGCACCAGAACTCGGCCACCTCTCGCACCCGCATGGACGTGAGCAGGATCTCCCAGACCTCCAGCTTGAACATGTTCCCGATGATGATGTGCATGGGCTGGCCCACCTCCCTGCTGTCGTCAATCACCGTCCGCTCCTCATCACATTTCATGGTGCGAAAATGAAAGATCACCTGGTCACGGAGACGGCGCGCTCTGCTCTAGATAAACCTCTCCAGACCGGGCAGAAGCCACCTCCCGGCCACCAAATCCCAGGTGTCCTCGGTCGGCTCACTCAGTTCACCCCATCAGATGCCTCAGAGCCCCAGAGCACCTCCACACTGCCTGCATCCCCCAGGGAGGAGGAGCCCACCCCCTCCCTATGGACCCCATTCCACTCCCCACAGCCCTGCCTGTCCAGAAATCCTTCCTCAAATAAGCCCACAGGAACACCCTTCAGTCCAGGGAAGCCCAACAGACGTTTGGGGACAAATGCCAAGACCCCTGAGGCCCCCTTTCTTCTTCGTCCAGAAAATTCCTAAAAGTCTTTCCCCTCAGCTCATGCTAAAAGTGGAATCTGCAAAGTACCAAAAATGCCCCGTGAAGGCGTAGACGCTGGGAGCTCCCCGGAGGCCCAGGGCTGGGGCTGCCTGGATGTTCTGGGGCAAAGCTGAAAGCTGTTTACAGTGCCTCGGGGCACACCTGGAACGTGGAGCCTGCTCTGGGAGACCCTATCTGCTCTGGAGGGGCCCCACTCACTCGGGATCCGGTGATGAAATTTGGGAGCTCGCCCGTGCCCCCGTGCAGAATGGTCTTCTTGACCCCTTCCACGTTCAGGAGCAGAGCGGCATCCATGGCTGGAGGAGGAAAAGTTGGAGGAGAAAAGGCGGCGTCCAGCACAGGCTGAGATAATCTCACCTCCGGGGACGACACTTAGGCGCCTGAGACGCTGGGATTTGCCCAGCCAGGAGGAGTGGCGGGGGAGGGCAGACCGTGGGGGCGGTGCCCCAGGCGCCCCGCTTCTCATCAGAGAGCCACGCGGGTCTGTGGTCAGCAGGCAGCCTTTCCTCCTACCCCATCCATCACTCTTTCCAGTGATTCTGGGTCCCTGCCTGACACACGCCAGGGGTGTGCTAGGCCTGAGTTTTGTTCCCCCTCAAGAAGGAAGAAGGTCCCCCGAGCTTTCTTAAAGAAGGCAGGAGAGGAGGAGTGAGCAGGAGAGAAGCCTGGAGGCCACTGAAGGGGAAAAGGAGGGGAGGCCTGGGCTGAGCACAGACTCTAAGCCCCTGAGGACCCCAGGCCAGGCAGGGCAGCAGCGGCCCTTGCCATCCAACCACCTGCCTGCTTTCCCCGTTCCCTCTCCCCTGCCCAGGATCTACCTTTAGGAGGCCCTGCGATGGTGGCCCAAGGGACGAGGGGACAGGTTTCTGGCTTGGGAGGGAAGGAAGACAGGGAACAAAAGTCGGGGTGGGTTTGAGTAAAGTTGAGCGCCCTCCCCAGCCCCGCTCCTGCCTCCCCTGCAAGGCCTGGCTGCGGGAGGACGCCTATTCCCTCCCCTTTGGAGGGCCTCAGCCCTGTGCTCTGGGAACCAGGCGGAGTGCATTCAGGGCATCCGGGACGCCCTTCCAGGCGGCCAAACATGCGAAGACTTGGTGTTTGGCACCATCGTGTGGCCAGTTCAAGCTCCTTCGCCTCCACACCCTGAGGGTGGTGGACTCAGCTCCAAACCGTTTTCCTGACACCAGGCTCACTTGTTGCAGAGGGAAGGGACTCTGCTACAGGGAGAGAGAAAAACACTAGACTGTGCCAGGTGCGGTGGCTCATGGCCATAATCCCAGCACTTTGGGAGCTGTGGTGGGTGGATCACCTGAGGTCAGGAGTTCAAGTCCACCCTGGCCAACATGGTGAAACCCCGTCTCCACTAAAAATACAACAATTAGCCAGGAGTGATGGCAGGTGCCTGCAATCCCAGCTACTCGGGAGGCAGAGGCAGGAGAATCGCTTGAACCCAGGAGATGAAGGTTGCTCTGAGCTGAGATCACACCACTGCACTGCACTCCAGCCTGGGTGATAGAATGAGACTGTGTCTAAAAAAAAAAAACAAGAAGGAGAAGAAGGAAGAAGAAAGGAGAAGAAGGAGGAGGACTGGATTGAGCCAGATACAGCTGAGTTCAAAGGGCTGACCCTTTCCTATTTACTGACCTTGTGGCCTTGGGTGTCTCTCGTTTAACTCAACTGCCTTTTCCCAATTGAAATGGAAAAATTGACCTCTGCTGCGTTCCTCTCAAGGGAGGCTGAGAGGCTGGCAGCAGTGAATGGGACCCTGAAATCCGGCACCCCTGAAAGTCTTGCCTCCCATGAAGAGCCATTGGCATAGAGGAGATCAAACCTGGGCCAACTGGCCAAGGCCAGGGAGCCCTGGCCAGACCCCCAAGGGTCAGGTCTCCATCCCTGGAAGGTGGAAGGCTGCAGAAAACCTTCCCCTCCTCTCTTCCATCCTTTCTCCAGCGACACGGCAACCTAGAGACGTCTGTATGCATAGGTAAAATGGATACTTAGGAAAACTAATATAGGAGTTATTAAGAAATAATTTTTAGGTAGATAGTAAGGGTAAAGGTTCTCCAACGAAATTTCCCTGCAATTAAAAGCAACCCTCCGAACCATCTCTTTTCTTTTTTTTTTTTTTTTTTTTTTTTTTTTTTTTGAGACAGAGTCTTACTCTGTCACCCAGGCTGGAGTGCAGTGACATGATTGTGGCTCACTGCAACCTCTGCTTCCTGGGTTCAAGGAATCTCCTGCCTCAGCCTCCCGAGTAGCTGGGATTACAAGTGTACACCACCATGGCCTAATTTTGTATTTTTAGTAGAGACAGGGTTTCAGTATGTTGGCCAGGATGGTTTCGAACTCCTGACCTCGTGATCCACCCGCCTGAGCCTCCCAAAGTGCTGGGCTTACAGGCGTGAGCCACCGCACCCTGCTACCATCTCTTTTCTGACAGCAAAAGGCTGCTTAAAGATCCAGGCTGGCAAGCCTTGATATGCAAATATCGGCCATTAGAAATTGGATTCACTCATATGGCAATTTCCACTGTCTATTCTTTGTCACAAGTGTACCAACTGTCATGGCCACCTCCAGGTAACACCATGTGTTCAGAACATCCTGGTGACCTGCATTTGCATATTAAAGAGCTAAGGTGGGAGGGCCAGGTTTTTTTCTTTTCGGACTATTTAAATGACACACCTAGTCAAACCAATCCCCTGGGCCCTGTGGAAACCAAATACCACCTCCTCCCGCCTCCTCATGTAAGCAGCCACTTTTCGCCAAACGGGGTTTTCTCTTCATTCAAATCCCCCCTCCCTTTGTCTCTGTATGGAGGAGCTATTTTTTTCTTCCTTCCTTCTTTCTTGCCTACTAAACTTTTTGCTCCTTAAAAACACTGCATGTGTGTTCGTGTCGTTAATCCTATTGGCGCAAGACCAAGAACCCTGGAGTTCCCCCAGTCATCAGAGCCATAGCAAAACTACAAAGGAATAAACAGGGATAACCATAAAGTTTCAGGAGTGGCCAGCCCAGGTGGCTCACACCTGTAATCGCAGCACTTTGGGAGGCCAAGGCAGCAGGATCAAGTTTAGGAGACTGAGACCATCCTGGCCAACATGGTGAAACCCCGCCTCTACTAAAAATACAAAAATTAGCCGGGCATGGTGGCATGCACCTATAATACCAGCTACTCAGGAGGCTGAGGCAGGAGAATCACTTGAACCCTGAGGGGCGAAGGTTGCAGTGAGCTGAGCTCTCGCCACTGCACTCCAGCCTGACAACAGAGGGAGGCTCCCTTGTCTAAAAAAAAAAAAAAAAATCTAAAGAGAGAGGGAGAACACACTTGTCACGTGCAGGTGTCAAGTGTCTGCTTCTGGGTTACTGGCAATGTTCACCCTTGACCTAGGTGATGGTTACATGGTTTTTGGCTTTATAAGTACAGTAAGTTCTCACTTCATATCCTTTTAGGTTCTTGCAAACTGCAGTTGGAAGTGAAAGGACATACACCAGGTCCTCAAATAACATCATTTCAATCGACGTCATCATTTCATTATAATGTTGATGAGGAAAAAAAAAATGTGGTTTCCTTATAGGTAATTTCATTTAAAGTCGATTTTCAAACATGTGCATGCTCTTGTCCTCTCACTGTGTGATGCCTCCCACCATGCTATGAATGTAGTAAGAAGGCCCTCACCAGATGCCAGAACTCACTGTATTCACTGCACTAGATTTTGTCTTAGGCAGTTTTCTATCAGTAATATAATTCACAGTGGCAGAAAAAGATCCTATTGCGTCTCTTCTCACCTTCTTAAGACTCTCCCACTGTTTCAGTTGCTTCCCTTTGTAGAGGGTCAAAGGGCACACACACAAGGCAGAGATGTTTAAACAGTAGAACTGACAGACGTAGCCTGTGGTTGACTGGGGGAGGTGGGGGCGAGAAGAAAAGGGGATGTTGAAGCTGATGCCGGGGGTGGGGGGTTGGTTTCCCTGCTGAGAAGAATGAGGATTCACTCCAGGTCTGTGCCTGGGCTTGGGCCACAAGTTTCAGACTGATGCTCCAGAAACCCTTTGGCCCCAGTCTTAATTCATTTTCTGTTATTATAACTGAACACCACAGATTGCACAATTTATTTTTTTAAAAAAGACATTTATGTAGCTCATGGGTCTGGAGACTGCGAAATCCAAGAGCATGGTGCTGGCATCTGGTGAGGACCTTCTTACTACACCATAGCATGGTGGGAGGCATCACACAGTGAGAGGACAAGAGCATGCACATCAGCTCAGGTCTCTCTACCTCTTCTCGTAAAGCCTCCAATCCTATCATGGGCCCTACCCTGGTGAGGTTATCTCATCCTAGTTACCCTCCAAAGACCCCACCCATAATGTCATCCACATGTGAATTTGAGGATTCAGTTTCCAACAAATGAGCCAAGATCATGCCATTGCACTGTGGCCTGGGCAATAAGAGCAAAACTCCATCTAAACAACAACAACAAAAAAAATAGCAGCTTTGAAACCAGTCTCCTCAAGGACTTTATTAAAATGCCACTCCAGTAATCTACTGCCCTCTTAAAATTCAGCAAAGAGTTGCTACCACCTTCAGGGCAGATTTTAAACTCCTTCTCTGGCCTACAGACCCTATCTCTTGCCACCCTATCCCCTACCCCCAGCCCCTGATCTCAGCCCCATCCTTTTTGCCCAGGCTTTCCCCAGTCTTAACACTTGACAATGCTCCAGACTCCCAACAGTGGCCCACTAGCTCCTCACTTAAAACACCACATGTTCAGGGAATACGACCCTGACCTCCAGCTCCAGCCACTTTTTCCACTTCCCTTAAGCCCTCTCGCTTCTCCCTGGAACTTCACATTCATGGTATTTTCCACAGTTGTAACTGTTTACAATGATGTGTTTAATTTCTGTGTCTTCCATCAAATTGACAGTTCCAGGAGGTCAAGGAAACTGGTGGAATCTTTGCTTTTGGACAAAGAGCCCCTGGAGAGCAGGGCTGGAGTTCTTCCTTCATCCCTGTCCCCAGCAGAGGCAAGGGTGATGCTGGATTAAGCCTCTGCTAGGAACAAGTGATTGATTTTTCCTCCTTATCAAGAACAGAAACCCCTGTACCAACCTCTGGACTAGGAGCCTGCTTCCCCTGAGTACTCCCTCCTTCCCTCCACTCAATGGAAGGCAAAAGGGAAAAGCTTCTCATTCAGAAGAAAATGTTTCTTCCCCCTTTGCTTGTTGCCATGGAGACTGCTCTTCATTAACCTGGCCTGCCAGTTACCATTCTGAGTGAGGGAAGAGGGTGGAAAGCTCCAAGCAGGGACGGCATCTTTACGCATGCATGCATTCATTGTTTCATCCCAGATACTCAATGAAGCTGTGTCATCTAAGGGTAAGAATTCAGGATTTGAAGTCAGACACTGGATTTAAGCTCCAGTCCTGACATTCCACACAATCTTGGACCAGATATTTCACCTAGCTGCATCTCACTTTTGTCACCTGTAATGGAAATAAAAATAGTACCTACTTCATAGAATTGCTTGAGGATTAAGAAAGAAGAGAGAAAATAAATGCACTTAGCAGAGCGTCTGACACATGGTGAGGACTCAAAAAATACCAGCTATTATTAGGGATGCCTGTGACATGACAGGCACTGGGGAGACAATTGCGATAAGACACTCCAGTTTGAGAGGCTTTGCTTGTTCTTAAGTGTTTCACCTTCACCCCACTTTGAACCTAGTTCTCACAGAAACAACAACTCTTACCCCTTGTATTTCATTGGCAAAAGACATTAATTAAATTCCTTAACTACAGTAACAAATACAACTGTTGTAAACAGGTTTGAAAGCAAGCATTTCTGACTCTTGATAAACAACTTCACTGTAGTAACAAAGTGAACAGGCAGACTAGAGCAGTATTTTGCAAACCACAACCCATACCCCATTAGTGACCCTTGTAAAGTAAATGTAGTGGGTTGTAACCATCGAGGTTATTTTTTTATTTTTTATGAAATAGAAAATAAAATTTCAGAGCATATCACACATAGTCAAGTATTGTGTCATGAAATTTTTGTTTCAGTTCACGTGTGTGTGTGTGCGTGTGTGTGTGCGTGTGTGCTGGGTCTCTTATACTGAATGCTTGTTCCTTAAACATGCTGTTCTCTCAGTCAAGAAGAACACACGCACACACACGCACACACACACGCACACACACGCACACACACACACTCTTTGCCTCGTTAACTCATTCTCTTGGTCTCAGCTTTAAATAAGATAAGTTTTGCATAGTTCTAACTCATTCTCTTGGTCTCAGCTTTAAATAAGATAAGTTTTGCATAGTTCTTTGATTAATTGATTACTGTTTATTTAATCCATTCGTGTCTGTATCTCCCCACACACTAGATCTGAGCTCTGTGAGGGTAAGGAATGCATCTACTTTGTTGACCTCTGTGGCTCATTTTTTTTTTTTTTTTTTTTTTTTTTTTTGAGACGGAGTTTCACTCTTGTTACCCAGGCTGGAGTGCAATGGTGCGATCTTGGCTCACCGCAACCTCTGCCTCCTGGGTTCAGGCAATTCTCCTGCCTCAGCCTCCTGAGTAGCTGGGATTACAGGCACACGTGTGGCCCATTTTTTAGCACAGTGCTTAATTGATCACAGACACCTATTTGATACAATTTGGAAAGACATGAGAGAGGGAATATGAGGGAGGGGAAGGAGAGTCGAGGAGACCAGGGTGACTTTAGCTAGGGTATGTAGATCTAAGATGCCTGCAGTACCCAAGAGGAGATGAGACCCAGGAAGTAGTTGGCTATACATGTCAGATGAGAGGCCCAAGCTGGGGTTGGAGGTATTAGGGGCTGAGAAAGGACAGTGTGGTATGGTGGTTAGGCACAGATATCCTAGTCCTAGACTGATGAAGTCTGAATCCTTGGCCCTGGTGTAGACTAACTGAGTGAAATTTGGGCCCAATCAAATTCTCTATTCTCAGTTTCCTCATCAAATGTACAATGAGGGTGTTAGTCCATTTTCTGTTGCTACAAGTGAATACCACAGACTGCATAATTTATAAAGAAAAGACACTTATTTAGCTCATGGTCTGGAGGATGGGAAGTCCAAGAGGATAGCACTGGCATCTGGTAAGGGCCTTCTTGCTGTGCCGTATGTAACATGGCAGAAGGCATTGCATGGTTAGAGGGCAAAAGTGTGCCTGTCAGCTCAGGTCACTGTTCTTTTTCTTTTAAAGCTACCAGTACCATCACGGGGATCCCACCCTGTTTGACTTTTTTTTTTTTTTTTTTTTTGAGATGGAATTTTTGCTCTTGTCACCCAAGCTGGAGTACAATGGCGCGATCTTTGCTCACTGCAGCTTCTGCCTCCCAGGTTCAAGCAATTCTCCTGCCTCAGCCTCCCGAGTAACCGAGATGAAGGCATGCACCACCATACCCAGCTAATTTTTTGGTATTATTAGTAGAGACAGGGTTTCACCATGTTGGCCAAGCTAGTCTCGAACTCCTGACCTCAAATGATCCACATGCCTTGGCCTCCCAAAGTGTGGAAATTATAGGCTTGAGCCACCTCCTGGGCCTCTGTTTGCTCTTATCTAATGCTAATTACCTCTCAAAGGCCTCACCTCATTAACATACTAAACATTGGGAATGGTAGGTGGAAGGAAGGAATAAGATACAAGTTACAGCTAAATAGGAGTAAATAGCTTAGTATTCTATAGCACGGTGGGATGACTAGAGTCATCTAGTCATGATGACTAGAGTAAACAATAATACATAGTTTCAAATAGCTAAAAGGAAGATATTGACTGTTCCCAACATAGAAAAATGATAATGTTTGAGATGATGAATATGCCAGTTACCCAAATCTGATCACTCTACAAGTATCAAAGCATCACTATGTGCCCCATAAATGTTTAATTACTACTTGTCAATTTTTAATTTTTTAAGAAAATTACAAAGTAGCTCATACTTGCAAACTACTATAGGTACAGGTATGTGTATACACACATATATAAAGTGGTACATATAAAATATACATATATGATTTACAGAATAATAAAGGCTGGGCAAGGTGGCTCATGCTTGAAATCCCAGCACTCTGGGAGGCCAAGGCAGGAGGACTGCTTGAGCCCAGGAGTTTGAGACTGCAGTGAGCCATGATTGCACCACTGCACGCCAGCCTGGACAACAGGGCAAGATCCTGTCTAAAAAACGGTAAAAAAGAAGAAAGTAAACAACCATGTGGCTACCACCCAGCCTACGAAATAGAACATTACCTTTGAAGTCCTTTGAGCCCTTTCCTCAATACATCCTCTTCTCCTGTCACCCTTCCAAAAATGACTACCTGTTTTATTTTGGTGCTTACAATTCCTTTGCTTTCCATAACAGCTTTGTCCACAAATGTGTCTGTATATTCCTAAACCATATTGTTTAGTTTTTTGCTTTTGAACTTACATGGTGTCATACTCTGTCTGCATAGCTTTTTTTTAAATCTAACATGATATTTCTGATATTCACCTAAGTTGGGAATGGTAGGTGGGAGGAAGGAATAGGAGAAATTTGTTAAAAGATACAAAGTTACAGCTAAATAGGAGTGATCTGGTTACAATTCACTTATTTTTCAGTGCTGTATAATTTGAATAAGTAACAATTTATATGTCTAAAAAATCCCACCCATATATGAATTTGGGTATTATATTTCCAACATTTGAAATTCGAGGGACATAGTCAAACCACAGCCGAAGGTCAGATGAGTTAATAAACTGTTTAAAACACCAGGACCTGTACATACTAAGTGTCATATACACATCATCCTTATCATCATCCTTTGGAGGGAAATCACTGAGGCCAAAGTGGGTGAGACCACCCAGAAAAGAAGAAGGTTAAAGACAGAGCCTCAAGGAACCATCATCTCAGGCTCTTGTGCGGTAGAAGTAACAAAGAAACCAACCGGGGTAGTGCGCAGCGCTGCTTTGAGGTCACCGAAAGGAGAAGGATGAGTTGGAGAGAGCTTTATAATGGCTTATTTTGTTTGGATGCTAAGGAGAGGAGAGGTAGGCATTCCGCTGGAGGGAGGGAGAGATGCTTGGGGCAAGGCAGGGGCAGGGAGCTGCAGTGGGCGGGAGGAGGGCAGACGGGTACCCTCTGGTCTATCCCCACTTCCAGGACGCGTTTTCTAGGGGGGCGGAGTGTGGATGGCGAATATGGGGAACTCAGAGAGGGGCAGTGTCTAGTCACAGGAAGGGAGGGTCAGGAGGGAAATTTGAAAGAAAACGTCTCTGGAAAATCCAGGACTCCGCGCTGCCAGCCCCTGGCTCTTTCTGAATGAATCACTGAGCAAGAAGGAAAAGCCAGGCCCCTTGGCGGGTTGGGCGGTGGTCCCTGCCGGCTGCGGAACCTGGAGCCTGAGCCATGGGGTCTCGGTGGCTGGACCTCCGCCTTTACCCCATGGGTCAGAGCAGCCTGGACCTATGCGCGCTCCAGGGAGGGGATCCGGCGTGCGGTGGGCGGCGGCGCGGGCTGGACGCAGGATACAAAGCCAGGAGCCACGAGGCAGGAGGCCGGGAGGGGGCCGGAGCAATGAATGGGGACGCCTGGGCCAATCCGAGCGCAGCATCTGCAGCCGCGAGAGAGGGAGCCAATCGGATGCCCGGCGCGGCGGCGGGGCCGGCAACGGAGCCAATCAGCTGTGAGGACGGGCCGGGGCAGGGCCGCGCAGTGTTTCAAATCTGCTGCAGTGGGCGAGAAGCAGCTGCGCTCGGGTGTGATCAGCGTTGGTGTCGGGTGAGTGCGGGCGGGACCGTGGCGGGGCGTCTGCTCAGAGCAGGAGGGCCTCAGGTTCGGACATGCACGGCGTGCGGGTGCGTCTGGGTACCTCAAGCGTCGGATCGGAATGGGTCGGGGGCCCGTCTGGTGGGAAGGCCGGGATCTGGGCAGGGGTGCGGTGGGTCTAGCCGAGCTGGTGAAAGAGACGGTAATCGTGTCCAGGCCCGGCGCTGAGGCTCGGTTCTGGAGTGTCCTGATCCTGCCTCGCCTGAGGCTGAGAGAGGAAGGAGGCTGGGATGAAAAGACAGCTGTTTTGGAAACTTGAAGTGCAGGACAGCAGAAATGCTGCTGACCCGGATGCTTCCAGGAAGCATCTTCCTTTCTGCACCCACACTTGCCAACTCCCCCACCATCCTGCTGCATCCCATCTCCTCCCCTGCGCCCAGGGTCTCTGTGGGGCCTGGGAATGCAGATGGGGAATGCCTTGCTGACCTGCTTTTTGCCCACCTCCCCAGGGTATAGTGGGCAGAAAAGACTTGGCCAGGCAGATGGCTTCTCGGTGGCAGAGCATGGGGACCTCCGTGCGCCGGAGATCTCTCCGGCACCAGGAGCAGCTGGAGGACAGCAAGGAGCTGCAGCCTGTGGCCAGCCGTCAGGAGACCTCCTCCAGGGCCCTGGGGTCCCTGTGCAGACAGTTCCAAAGGAGGCTGCCCCTGAAAGCCGTCAACCTCAACCTCCGCGCAGGCCCCTCCTGGAAACGCCTGGAAACCCCAGAGCCAGGGCAGCAGGGCCTCCAGGCAGCAGCTCGCTCAGCTAAGAGTGCCTTGGGTGCCATGTCCCAGGTAATACCGACAATACTAACCATCTTTTTTATGAATGGTTACCTTGGTGCCAGACAGTCCCTGCCTTCGAAGAGCCTCCAAAAATATAGACTACATGAAGACAGGGACTTTGGTTAGTTCACTGCTGTTTCCCCAGCACCCCAAATAGTTCCTGGCATGTATAGGTGCTGGACAAATAGTTGAATGAATGAATGAAAGCATGTCTTGGAGGAAACAGATGCTCACACTACCAAGTGATAAGAGCTGTACATGATAGGAAATTGCAAGCAAGTGGCCAATAGTGAGGGCTCACCAAACGAAAGCTTAGTCGGTGAAGGCTTCTCAGAGGAGGTGACTCCAGGGTTCACCCAGGGAAGCAAAGGTCAAGGGGTATTTAAGGCAGGGGAAATAGTGCCAAGTCCAGGCCTGGAGCTGAGGGAAAGCAAGATTGCCCACTCGTCCGTGGACCCCTGAGGAGAGCCAGAATTTTAGTCTGGGAATGAGCAAAGGACACAGGGCAAGGCACGGCAGGGAGAAAGGAAATAAAGGAGCCTAGACTCTCCTGGGAGTGATCAGGAGTCCGTAGGATTCTAAAACAATGGAAAGTCTGGTCTAATTAGCATATTAGAATTTGCCCTTTAGCTACATAATGGAGAAGGGAATGGAAGCAGAGAAGCTCCTGAGGGGGCTAAGGGTCTGGACTTGCAGGGGATAAACTTCCGGAACTGCCTAGAAGGTTGATTAGAGGGGATATGCTGTGAAATGAGATGTGCTGGCAGGATGACATCCTTAAAGGGTCTACAGGCCCTTTAAGGGATGCATCTTTCAACTCAGAGCTGGAGGTGTAGAGGGGTCACTTAAGAAGGACAGAAGCCATTAGGATGGATAGACCTTCAGCGAGAGGACTGGAGACTGCAGAGGTTTCTCCTCGGTGTCTCATTGGGAATTCTGAAGATGAGGGGAGAGGGTGGCTGTTTCCAGACGCTCTGCAGAGAGCTCTCTGAGCCAAATGTTAGTCCTTATTTGGAAACTATTTTTTTATTTTTTGATAAATAAAAATTGTCGCCAGGCTGGAGTGCAGTGGCGAGATCTCAGCTCACTGCAACCACCACCTCCCGAGTTCAAGTGATCCTCCAGCCTCAACCTCCCAAGTAGCTGGGATTACAGACGTGTGCCACCACTCCTGGCTAATTTTTTTGTATTTTTAGTAGAGATGGGGTTTCACCGTGTTAGCCAGGCTGGTCTCAATCTCCTAACTGCGTGATCCACCCAAATGCTCTCCTGGTATGCTGGGGGTGGTAGGCAAGCTGGTCTGCTCTTCTCTGGAGCCCTCCCTTACAGTCATTGGGTCAATCTGTGTCTAGAAGGAGAGTTAGACAAACAGGCTGCATGCACTAGGAGGGGGTCATCCTGCTGCTGACAGCTGCTGTCATATCCAGAAGCTCTGAGCTGGGTCCCTGCCATGGACTTATTCCATGAGGAGTCATTCACATCCCTCACCCTGGAAACTAACAGCAGCCTGTATTTACGGGACACTTGGTTGGTCTAGGGGTGGTGGTAGCTCACCCTTGTTTTTTGTTTTTTCAAGACAGTGTCTCACTCTGTCACCCAGGCTGAAGTGCAGTGGCGTGATCTCACTTCACTGCAACACTGCAACCTCTGCCTCCTGGGTTCAAGGGATTCTGGGATTACAGGTGCCCGCCAACATGCCCAGCTAATTTTTTTGTGTTTTTAGTAGAGATGGTGTTTTATGATGTTGGCCAGGCTGGTCTCCAACTCCTGACCTCAGGTCATCTGCCCGCCTTGGCCTCCAAAAGTGCCGAGATTAAAGGCATGAGCCACCGCACCCAGCCTCACCCTTGGTTCTGTCTGTGCTAACCTTTCCATTTGCCTGTTACAGAGAATCCAGGAGTCCTGCCAAAGTGGCACCAAGTGGCTGGTGGAGACCCAGGTGAAGGCCAGGAGGAGGAAGAGAGGGCCACAGAAGGGCAGTGGCTCCCCAACTCACAGCCTGAGCCAGAAGAGCACCCGGCTGTCTGGAGCCGCCCTTGCCCACTCACCCGCAGACCACTGGGAGGAGCATCACTGCCTCTCTGCCCGGATGGGCTCATGTGCCCACCCATTCTGGCGGTCGAGGTGGGAGGCAGCCTTCCGGAGCCCCTGCTCCTCTACAGAGCCCCTCTGCTCTCCCAGGCAAGTAGGACAGTTCCTCACCCTGGGGCTGGTGGCCTTTTAGCCTGGGCACAATCCCTGCTCTCTGACCTCCTAGACACTAACTGGGGCCCAGGGGCACCCTGAGTGGAGTCACAGCATGTAATTATTATTCTTATTGTTAAATGCATGTCCTGCTTTAGCAGAGATCCAGTGCATGTATTTGTTCATTAGAAAATGAGACAACAGGACGGGCACAGTGGCTCACACCTGTCATCCCAGCACTTTGGGGGGCCGAGACGGGCGGATCACCGGAAGTCAGGAGTTGGAGAGCAGCCTAGCCAACATGGTGGAACCCCATCTCTACTAAAAACATAAAATAAGCTAGGCGTGATGGTGCATGCCTGTAATCCCAGCTACTTGGGAGGCTGAGGCAGGAGCAACGCTTGAATCTGGGAGGCAGAGGTTGCAGTGAACTGAGATCACACCACTGCACTCCAGCCTGGGTGACAAAGTGAGATTCCATCTCAAAAAAAAAAAAGAGAAAGAGAGAGAGAAAACAAAACAACAACTGGATTCCTAAGGGTTTTATTTCAACTTTCCACCTGAGCTACAGGGGAAAAGGTAGTGTGCTAATTAAGGCTGTCTAGGAGCTCTGGGCTGTTGGATTTTTCTCACATTTCTTTGAGGGCTAGCATCTTTCTTTAGTCTCATAGGAACCTTGAGCTGTGATTAAGGCAGGCTCTGTTTTTCCCGTTTGACAAGTAAGGAAATGGAGGTCCAGAGGGGTTTGGTGCTTAGCATGGGGGACATCCTGTAGGAAGTCGAGGAGTAAAGGCTGGGGTCCAGATCACCTGGATGTTCTGCCCCACACATCAAGCTGGCCTGCCCTGCAGAATCTTCTAGTTCTCAGGCCCAGAGCGGGGTAGGGGGTGAAGCTCATCCCAGTCCGCAGACCCTGGCAGCTAGCTTCCCGTTCCCATCTCGGGGCTCCCAGGGAAGGCTGCCTACCTGCCGCCCCTGCGTCGGTGGTCACCAGGATGCATGTTTAAGTGACCGAGTAGCTTTGCTCAGTGCAGGAGCAAACCTGGAGGCTAAAATAAGGCGCGTGAACACTTCAAAAATACTCTCCACCTCTGTGTTCTGACCCGCTTCTGCCCCCAGAGCTAGTGAGGGACCTGAGACAATCAACCATTCAGGACCTTAGTTTCCCTGTCTGAAAAGGAAGAGCTGAGCTGAGCTCTGACACAATCACACCCACCCAAACCTCCTAGTGAGCCCAAAAGCAAGTTTTGATGCTACCTGGAAGGCTGAGGCTCAGTTTCCAAGCGGGGAAACTGCAAAATCCCTTGCCCATGACCTCGGCCTCATGGATCTTGACCTCTCTGTTCTTTGCTCTGAGGTCACTTCCTGGAGTGAGGGTCTGGAGTGAAGCCCAGCCAACCAGGGTCATCCAGGCCCACAGACCAGACCCTGGTATGAGCCCTGCCAGGGGTTTCCAACTAATCACTGGTGTGGGTTTTTCTTTCATTCAGTGAGTCTGACAATGACCTAGAGCCGGTGGGGGCGGGAATTCAGCACCTTCAGAAGCTGTCCCAAGAGCTAGATGAAGCCATCATGGCAGAAGACAGGTGAGTTGGCATCCCATGCTTCAAAGTGAAGTGGCCGGAAAGGCCCCTCCAGCTATCTTTGCAGGCGGGTGCTGGTTTTGCTCTGACCTGCTGTGTGACCCTGGCCAGTCTCTGCCCCTGTCTGGGCCTCAGCGTCCCTTATCTCAAACTCAAGAAGAGATAAAAACCTAGACTGGGGTGATGGTAAAGGATGTACCCTGAATGTGTGTGGTCTTCTGGGCCTTGGGCCCCCACGTTTGTCCATCACTTGGAACCTCACATGTGGCTGGTTCTGTTCCTGAAAAGCCTACCCTGCCTCCAGAACTTTCCATGGCTCCTCTGTGCCCTCCCTGCCTATGGAATTGGGAAAAGCAACATGACTGCTATGGAGTTCCTGGTCTGTCCGCTCATGACCCCATCCTGGGGGCAGGGCCTCGGTTCTGGATGTCCCCTAAGTTAGGACTGTTTCCCCATTCCACTTGTATGATGGCCATGATGGGCTCTAAGGCTGGGACTGATCTTGTCTAGCCTAGACTGGGAGGGCCTTCTCAGAGCCCACCACAACCAGTGGCATCCATCCCTCCCCCTCTCTCTAGTGGTGACATCGTCTCTCTCATTCATGGCTGAGGAAGTGCCTGCAGGTAATGCGCACCCCTCGAGATCTTTCTCAATGTCCTCCTCCACCTTATGCATGAGCAAATTAAAGAAAAAGCCCACAGACCTAATGGGCACAGCAGAGGCAGTAGTATCTGCCTGCTACTTGAGGTCAGAGCTAACCTCACTAACCCCCATCACTAACTGAGCATGCTGGGGGCCCCGGGTAGCTACAGCCGCCTTCCAGCACCTCCCACCCTGCAGTGAACAGGGAAAGGCATCCCTGCTTCTTCTACACGGAGCACAGTGAGGGGCACAAAAGCAGCTCTGTCTTGCAGGAAACAAGCCCTGTCTGACTGCCAAGGCTTCACACCCAAGGACGTCTGTGCTTCCTCATGCACTTCCTGGAGGAAGTCCCCAGGAGTCATCAGTACCCCTGGGCCCCTGCTAATGAGGACCTGACTGACAAGGGGCCTGGAGCCCCCCTGCTCCGGCCACATCTGGACCCATCAGTGACTGCCAGCCATAGCCTGAGAGTGTCTTGGGGAGAGTGTCTTGCAGAGGTGGGGAGCATTGTACCTTTTGCTTTCCCAGGGGACTCTTGAGCTTAGAAACTCATTATACACCTGCCTTTGAGCTTTGTATTTGCCTCATCTGTAACGTGAAGTGCTACCATCTGATGTCTGAGAGCTCAGCCATGTACCCAGGTGTCTGGTTTTGGGGGAGTCATCCACAGAGTCACTCACCGTCTGTGTTTCTGGTACCAAGGCTCTTGAGGGCCCCACTCTCATCCCTGCTTTCCCTATCAGCGACTCAGAGGAAGGCACAGGAGATATTTCCAGGCTTAAGACCTTGGGCTCACAGGTACCTATTTATATGCTCGATGCAGAGTGCTGTGGGTATGCCGGGAGGGGTAGCCTGGTCAAGAGCAATTTCTGCCCTTTGTAAATTATTTAAGAAATCTGCTTTGTCATTTTATTAGAAAGAAACCAGCGTGTGACTTTCCTAGATAACACTGCTTTCTCATAATAAAGACTGCCTTTGACATCTGTTCCCTTTCACCGCCAACCTCCATCGTCCCCCACCCCCCCACACCATTCTGTGCTATAGATTTGTGGTTTGGGGTCTGGCCCTCATCTACCTCTGCTCCCAGCCAGCCTGCCCCGAAGTCCCACCCCAGGGAGAACATGTATAAGGGGAAAGGTTTCTCAATTTCATTCAGAGCAAAACACATTGTAAAGGCAAATAAGGTTTTTATTTAAGTGACAACGCTTGAGAGCTAAAAACCAGCTCACATCAAAATCAAGACCAGTTGTAAAAATCTTTTAACTCCATAATGCTCTTTTTGTCTTGTTAGAAATCTGGTATCTTACATTAGCGTCTCTAACGGATTTTGTACAAGGCAGCCATAAAGAATATAATAAACCTTTTTTACCACGGAACCATCTGTCACAGATAATACTGAAAGTTACACACTTAGGAACAGTCAGACCACAGACAAGGTCAGGCTGGCTGCCACCACCAAGTAAACAGAGAGAAGGACAGCGGGGTCCAAGGGTGGGGGTCCCTGTGCACAAGTCGCCCTCCTCTGGCCTGCCCCCTCCTTGGTGTCGCCTGCTTCTCCTTTGCCCCAAAGAGGGTGGAGTCAAATTCAAATTTTCCTCCCAAGTGCCTGTTAGTTTCTCAACAAGGAGAGCGGGACCCAGGTCAGGCGTCGGGGCTTGGACTTAACCCTAACTGTGGTTTTTAAGAAAGTTCCCCTAAGCCTAGAAGGAAAGGAAGGAAGGGATGTTTCTTCTGGCTGAGCCAAAAGACTATAGGTTTTCAGGGCATTTCGTACCCAAACCCCCCCAGATGGGATTCAGTGGGAAAGTTGGTTGTTTAAGGCGGGGTCAGGGCCCCCCTCCCGGGGCTGCACCTGGGCTGGGTGGGAGAGTGAGGATGCAGAGGACTCTCGTGCCTCATGAACGACTCCAGGGCACAGCTATGGGTCCCAAAGGGATAAAAATACAATTTAAAAACCATGAGATCCAGCCTCGCCTCTTCCAGAGCACCCACCACCACGAATCTCTGGAATACTAGAATTCAAACACATTCATTTGCTGTAGCCCAGCACCCAGACAAGAGGGCCGTTCATCCCAATGTGTAAAAGGAGTCTGCTTTTTAAAAAAATATTTTACAGAGCCCACGGGAGCTGTTGAGATCTTTAGGAAAAAAACCCATGATGCTGGAAGACCAGGTCCTGGGCTAAGGACGCACCCTGAACCCCAACAGGGCAAATGGTAAAGGAAGGTGGCAGGCAGGCCCTCAGCCACGACAGCCGCCAGATCGGGAGGAACAAACATGCCACACAAGAAACAAGGAGCTTTGGTAAGGCGGGAAGATCTGGTCCAGCTGCTGGAAAACAGGCATACCAGAAGCTAGAAAGATTCTCTAGAAAACAGCTGGATTGGGGGTCACAGAACTACTCAAGGAGAGGCAGTGGCACCCCCTCCAGAGGACAACACAACTTGGTTCTTTTTTTCTCCAACTTCACTAGACGGACAAAACCGAACAAACCACTGGGATAGAAAGTGCATATATGCATTACATCGTTGCTGTGAAAGCCATACTGAAACATACGCTGTCTCACCTCTACATAGAACCGCATGTACACACATTCACACACACCAACTACAGCTCCAACTGGGTTCACAATATCTCACTGTACACCATCAGCATCTCATGTGTGCATTGTCGGTCAAAGCTACAATCTTCCTACCTGCTTGGAGCCAGAGCTGCTTCCAAAAGGAGTGGTGGCCCTTCTGCTGGGTCCTTGTCCCAGCTCTGACCCCCAGAGCCATAGAACCCAGGTCACACTAACTTCAAATTCCCCAGGGATCCTGGCCCATGTGTGCTCATTCTCTCATTCTGTCTTCCTTTCTCTCTCTCTCTCTCTTTCTCCCCCCCCACCACCCCCAACCCCTCGCCTAGCCTGGGGTTCTCAGGGAAGAGGGAATCTAACTGGGAGCAAAGTAACTCATACTAAGTATTTATTATTTTAGAGTAATCAGTGGCTTCTGCAAAAAGGAAATGGTAAGAGTTTTCAAGAATCAGACTAAGTCTGCCCAAGTTTAAATCAGAATATTTTGGGGAAGGATTAGGGTTGGGGTGGCTATGCCGTATGAGCTGGTGCCTTTGGAAAACCGAGAACTGTGAAATGTTAAAGGGGGGATGGGCACCTATGAACAGCCCGGAGGCAGGACCATACAGGAGGCTGAGGCTGAGGCTGAGGCTGATCTGCACCCCTCCCCACAGACTCACCAGCAGCCCTGGGCTAGAGTGAAGGAGGCTGCGCCAGAAGTGGAGCAGAAGAGCTGGCAGACCGAAGACACATTTCTAGTGGAGAGAGCAGGGTTGGGGGCTGGGAGCCCAGACCCCTCCAGCCCCAGGAGGGCACCCAGTTTGCCAGCTAATTCACAACAGTGGTGCCAGCTGCCCCCAACAGCAGCATCATTGGCTGCATAGGAGCCAAGAGAGGTAGACACTGAGCAGAAGCAACACTGAGCTGACACAGATGCCTGCTGTGGATACAGACGTCTGAAATTGCTGGGACCGGCCTCAGAGGTGGCCCATGAGGGCTCAGAGGCCACCTGGGAAGCCCACACAGCAGGTATGGGCCTGGGCCAGGGAGTCAGGGAGCCAGGGGATGCAGGAAACCAATGCCCAGGCCAAGGCTCAGCAGCAGGAGGGCCTGGGCCAGCTTGGCCCCAGAAGGGCCAAGACCTGCCGACCTCAGGGGACTACCCAGGAGGAGAGTATGGGCACAAACTGAGCGGCAGGGGAAAGGGAAGAGAATGCAACAGTTGGAGCCAAACTTCCAGGAACCCCCTAGAACCCCAGAATCTCTGCTCTATGCCCCCAGGAGCCAAAAAGGATAAATGGGTCCTGGCAGAGCTAGGGGTAGGGGGAGCCAGATCATTTGGCCGGAGATGGAGGTGGGTTGTCCCTGGGACACCCAGTTTGGGCATCAGTGCAAGGCAAACCAGCTGTGCCTCTCCGTGGAGTAGGGATCCCTTCCCAGCCAGCCCAGAGCAGCTCTTTTAAGAGCCCCTCCTCCTTCCCAACCCACCCAGACCCCGTCTCCCAGGCTGTGTGAAAGGCATGGGTCACAGGACACTCTGAGGGGCCCTTAGACCTGAAAAGCCTCAAGGAGCCAAACTCCTGGACACGCTGGAGTCAGACTCACACCAATCTCAGCTAGGGTATCCCTCCAATAACAGAAGGGGCCCAGAGAGGGCAAGCAACCAGCTCAGGGGCTCACAGCCAGCCCAGCTGAGCCAGAGCCCAAGGCTGCAGCCTCCCAAGGGAGCACATGAGGCAGAGCTCCAGGAAGAGGAACCCCTGGCCCCCAGGGCCACAGAGAAATGGTGAGGACACTTAGGACAAGTGGAGGGGGGTGTTTGGGAACAATGGACAGCCACAGGACAGACCGTCAGCACCAGACTCCACCTCCCCAGGACTGTGGACAGAGACGGCATTAAGATGAGCCAGGGGATGCGCTCTCACTCCTAGAACGTGGCCATCTTGCCGTAAGAGCGCCAACCCAAACAAGGTCCAGGGCCACAGGGAGGGCGGGCACACATGCCACTCACGCCTCCACAAACCAGCCGAGAAGCTGTGCCTGCCAGCGGCGCTGGGTCCCGGGGCTGGGGCTGCGGCTGCCCCTTGAGGGCCAGCCCAGCTCACTGTGAAGCCTGGGGACTCGGGATGGTCGACTTTGCCCAAACGCTCCAGCTCCAGGCAAGCCTGCCCCCAGGATGATACCAACAAGAACTCTACTGGGGCGTGCGGTCGCAGGCACACGGGAGGCAGCAGCGGCTGCATCGAGACCCCTGGATCTCACCCCGTCGCAGCCCAGGGAGCCCCCGAGGCCGGGCAGGGTCCCTCCCCGCTCTGCTAGGACACTGCTGGACAGACACGGGAGGGAAAAAGCAGGAAAACGCCTGTGTCGGGGAGAGGGCCGCCCCTCCAGTCCCCGCAGGCAGCCCGGCTGGGCGCCCCCTCCCCGCTCTGAGCACAGCCCCCCTCTCAAGGCACCGACTCGAACTTGGGGGGCCCACGCGCCCAGCTGAGCGCGGGCAGCGGCCGCTCGTGGTCCTTGTCGGACTCGGGCTGGCTCTGGGCCCGCTCGGGCTTGGGGTTGGCGGCGGGCGGGTCGGGCTGCTGCACGGACATGGTTCTGCGCAGGTGGTTGCGCTTCCGCAGGAACTCTGGCTGCGCGTGGAGCCCGAAGCTGCCCTTGCGCAGGATCATGCGTGAGTTGTTCTTCTTGGGGCGCGAGCGGTGGCTGCTCTCCAGCGCGGCCAGGTGTGCTGCGTAGCCCTCGCTCAGGAACTGCAAAGGGCGAGGCGGGACGGGGCGGGGCAGGGTGGGGAGGAGCAGGGGAGGGAAGAAGGGAGGGGAGAAGAGGGGAGGGGAGGGGAGAAGAGGGGAGGGGAGGGGAGAAGAGGGGAGGGGAGGGGAGAAGAGGGGAGGGGAGGGGAAAAGGAAGAAGGAAGGAGAAGAAAGGGAGAAGAAGAGAGGGGAGGGGCGGAGAGAGAAGGAAGGGGCACGAAGGGGTGGGGAGAGAAGGGAAGAGAGGAAGGGAAGGGAGGGAAGGGAAAGGAGGGGAGGAAAGGGGTGGGGAGAAAAGGAAGGGGAGGAAAGGGGAGGGGAGAAGAGGGGTGGGAGAGAAGTGGAGATAAGGGAGAGGAGGGAAGGGAGGGGAGGAATGACAAGGGGAGAGAAGGGGGGAGGGGGAGGTGAGAGCAAGAGGAAGAAGGGGGGAGAGGAGAGGAGGGAAGGAGAGAGAAAGGGAGAGAAGAGAGGGGAGGGAAGAGAAGGGAGGGGAGGGGAGAGAAGGGAGGGGAGGGGAGAGCATGAAGAAGAAGGGAGGGGAGGGGATGGGAGTCAGGCAGAGGGGCAGGGCAGGCCCCTGATCCTGATCCTGTCCCCATCATTTCCTGGGAACACCCTACCGAGGTGCCTCCAGCTTCTCTGAGGAACGCCTGGGGAAGCCAAGAGCTCTTTACTGTTCCAGGGTCCCATCCCGCTTTGGAAAAGCGTGCACCTCTACCCATACCCATGGATCACACCAGTTCCTCTGGATTTTCTATTTTATTTCAATTAATTACTTTATTTATTTGAGACAGGGTCTTGCTCTGCTGCCCAGGCTGGAGTGCAGTGGCCCAATCTCAGCTCAGTGCAGTCTCAACCTCGCCAGCTCAAGCAATCCTCCAGCCTCAGCCTCTTGAGTGACTGGGACCACTGGTACATGCCACCACACCCAGCTCATTTTTTATTTTTTTTGTAGAAACAGGGTCTTGTTTTGTTGCCAGGGCTGGCCTTGAACCCCTGGGCTCAAGCAATCCTCCTGCCTCTCAAAGCACTGGGATCACAGGCATGAGCCACGGTGCTTGGCCTCTGGATTCTTTATGGTAGGGAAGCGCCCATCCTTGTCACTTGGCTGGTTAGAATACTGCGAAGTCCCTCCCATCATGTGGCCTCTCCATGCATCTTGTCATTTTTCTGAGCCCCATGAGTGCCCTCCTTGCTAGTCCTTACAGCTGTGTCCAGAACCTCATATTCGATGTGTGGTCCATGGACTCCAGCAGCATCAACATCACCTGGCCCCTTGTTAGGCAGAACCTTAGGCCCCACCCTAGTCCCATGGAATCAAAATGTGTGTGTCAACAAGATCCTCAGGTGATGCCCATGAACTTTAGAGTGTGAGTAGTGGGGCCTCTGAGCTCCCAGCTCTGAGATGCCACCATCTCCTGGCCCTCTACCCGCAGTTCACTCTCAGGAACCACACACTTGACATGCCCCGCCTTCCCTTCCCCCTGCTGTGTGATTCCAATACTGTCACCTCCTACATGGTCACCCAAGCCACAGACCAAGGCGCTGTCCTCCGCCTTCCCTTTCTCTCATCCCGCACATCTGATCTGGGCATTACCAAATCCAATCCATCTCCCACCAAAAAATGCGTCTCAGACCCTCCACTTTCCCTTCAACTCCCTTGGCTTTTCTCTCCACCTGCAGCCTGAGGGAACTTCCTGAATCGCACACCTGCTCATGGCCCTGTCCATCCCAGCCTCTGACAGAGTCCCACACAGGCCATCTCGGCTGCACTGAACGTTCCAGC